TTTTGTCTTGGAGAGGAGGGGAACGGTGCCACAGGTGAGATCAACTCTGCCTTGCTGCCAAATACCATTTGCTCCCAGCTTCTGTGCAACAATTGCCACCCACTGTCTGTTGGGGCAACAGTGGCCTGACTCTGAATTTGAGTCAGCAACAGCTGTTTGTTGCTTTCCCAGCTTTTGCAGAAGTAACAGCCCAGCTCTCTGTGTTAGGAGCTGCAGTTGTCCCTTCCAGCTTCGCTGGGTAACAACTGCCTGGATCTCTGCAGCAGGTGCTGGAGGAGCATTTTCAACAGCAGCTGCTGCCAGATGGGGAAGTCAGCTGCTTTCCTGTGATGTGGAGGTAGGCTGAGGTCTGTGCCATTGAGGTGGGGGATCACAGAGGGTCTCAAAACCCACATCCAGCTGTTAAGGCTGCCAGAATCAGACCACCCTGCAAGGGATTTAGGAGAGTTAGTCTGTCATCCTGCATTATAGCTTTGTGGAAGCAGCTCCTAGGTTTGTCTTGAATGCCTTGAAGCCTGTCTGCCCTCTGACTTTTCTCCTACTGAATTGTTTCCTTAGTGGCTACTATGCCTTTTTTATACTGCAGTTATTAAGGTCACTGTGCCAGTTAAATTGAACCCCTAAGGGTTAGCTGTGAATCTTTACCAAGGGTAAGCTCTTTATCCCAAAGGTGGTGGTTAATGTGCTAAGTTACCTGAAAAAAAAATAAATTATCGTATGCAAGTCTGTATCTACCTGGTGGAAACACTTACCTGGCCTGGAAAAGCAGGATGCTAAGAAAGTTGTTTTAACTTTCAATGGCTTTATCTTCAGAATCTGACTTTATGCATTCAGTGCAAAGAAACAGTTTTCTCATCTTCACAGTCATTTTCCTCTTGTGTGGTCTGAAAAAAACACAGACTGAGGAGACTGCACAGTTGCTGGAGCTGCTGTGAAGGGCAGAAATGCTCTCCCAGATTTAGAGGCAGTGCAGAGAGGAGAAGAAACTTGTTTTACCTTTTCATTCCCTTTGTCCTTCAAAAAACCCCATTGCTTTCTTTTTGATGTGTAGAGGTTCTCAAATCAGTGAACCCTGAGAGTTTTACCTTTACTGTGGTGATGTGTTTCTTTCAGTTTGGTGACTTAGAGGATGTGCTGGTTGTTGACTGAATCAAGAGTTTCTAGTATTCTGGTAGGAATTTTCTTCAAAAATATTTAATGCCTTTTAATATGTAGGTCTCTCATGAAAATAAAGCTGAATAAAATCTGTGAATGATTTTTTTTTTTTTTTTTCCCCCTCAACTGGTATCACTTTACTTAGTAACAACGATGACTTTTTGCATGTTTGGAGCTCATCTACTTGGCTATATTTTGAAGGTTTTTTCCTTCTGCTTCTGTTCAAATTTAACATGTTTTGTTTTCTAGTAAATAATTTTTTTTGTCTCTTGGGTAGAATGAAAGACAGAAATGAGAAAACAATTTGTAAGTATTGTGGATAAGTAAACCCTGTGAATTTTAGTCTGCTTTCCTAAAAAAAAACCCCACCAGACATAGAGGCTTATGGTGCCCTGGTGCCCCCACAAATAACTTTTGAACCCCATGACTCATACCTATTAAAATATTCCAAATTTCGTTAAAATACAGCCAGGTACCATGGAAAGAAGTCTGTTAAAAGAAGCCCTTATAAATATTACAGCCATAGGAAAAGCTTACATCAGCCCTTGCAATTAGGGATGAGAGACAAACCCATGAGGAAGCAGACTTGGTTAGTTTTGTTGCTCACACAACATGCTGGTTTCAGTGTGTGTTTCCC